GGGGCCACAGGCCGGGATGGGGGCCTCCCCCCTCCCCCCGAGTGCACAAATTTTTGTGCACCGGGCCTCTAGTCACTAATAAAAGCAGACTTAGAACTGGACACTGCAGGAGGAGTGCGATAGCACTCCCGGCACTTTTGGCGAAAGACAGGAGGAGCGCGATCGTGCTCCCCGACACTCAAGGGGTTAATATACTACTTACTTAATTTTAAATGAGGTGTTTCTTTTCTATCTGTATACTTTATTTTATTTTTTCCATCACCATTTATCCCTCCTATACCCTCTTCTACCTCCACCCACTCCCTTCCCCCCCACAGTCACCACACTGTGGTCCGTGTCCATGAGTTCTTTCTCTCTTTTTTTTTTCCCCTTTTTTGCTCAATCACTTAATGTATTTTTAAATGTTACAAAATAATTAATGATTCTAGACTTTGACACAAAACAAACATTAACTCTCTATTTTTCAACTTTGATTTTTTTTCAGGGTAATTTTAAAAGCTTTCTAGCTTCATGTACATATTTCTGAATTATTCTGTTCTGTATGTGTTTGTTTTAGTAAATCCTTATTAGGAAAATTAATAAAATTTGTTACGGTTGCATTTCATAGGCAGTCTGTGTATTTCATAGGAAATTGTGTGTTATCTTATTTCAAATCTCCCTTGCTAAGCACCCTGAGTATTATCTTCATGGTGAGCTAACACGCAAGAAATGAGGGACAGTGTCTTTTCGAGGATTTATGGTAACGCTGGGCATGGAGCTGATCAGGAACAGCATGGAGAGCCCTCAGGGTCCTTCATTTGCCTGACACACTTCACTGCTGCCCATTAACACTTAGGCTGTTATTGCCATAGACTCAGTTTAATGAGCATCTCTGAGTTCGGAGGTTTGCACCAGAAACAATAGCTTCAACAACTGAGGCACCTCCTCGCTCCACTTTTTATATCCCAGTTTGTCTTTCCTTTGTAAAAAAATAAAATAAAATAAATCCTCTCTAAGGCAGTATAGTTTGAAATAATCCGGATGTTTTATTCCCAATTAGAACAGTTAGTAGTTCCTGACATTGACACAGTATTGCAGACAACCTTGATAGAAAGTCAAGAAATAAATTCTAATTTACATTAATGAAGATAATGTCTTTTGTTGTTGTTCTACTAAAATAAAATGGAGCTGGCATTTGGAGGCACTCTTCTTATCTCCAGATTACAATCTGTTATGAATGAAAGAACATTATTTTCAAGAAATAATGACACACCTAAAATATTTCTCACTCATTAAATTTTTTCTTAACTGCATCAAAGTGTTAAAGAAGGCGATAATCTTTAAAATTGGCTGGTAATGGGTCCATCTAAATATTAAGTGCTCTTAGTTTGAGCGTCAAACCTAGATATGTATTTAAAACTGTTAAATATCTTGGATTTCAAAGTAAATTAACTAAATGTTTAAAAGCATTGTCTACTTGTCCATTATGGCCTTTCACATCAGCATTCTGAGTGAAATCATTGACACATTTCTTAATGTGGTTACTATCTTGAAATGTAACTTTTTATTGTAAGTATAATAGCACAGAGGAGAGAGTTCTGGTCAGTCTCACCTCCCTCAGGTAGTTATTACGTTGTTTTGTCCCTTAGAAAATGAACCGGAAGAAGGATTGGTGAAATCACATCCCGTTGGCATCTCTGAACTCCCAACTCGGACCCACTGAGGCAGCCAAGTCTGAGCCAAAGAGCATCACCAGGCGACGGAGTCAGGTACCTGCTCCCAGCTCTCTGGGGACTGTGCCCAAGGGTCCTCTCCCTGGGCCTCCCCACTTGCTGCTCCGAGTCAGGCCTTTCTTCTCAGCTTCCTGGTACTTCTGGCTTTTGGGAGGCAGTTAAGAGTTCTGTTGTGCATCTTCTCCAGATGATTCTCACTAAAAAGAGCCATTTGCAGTTAAATTAGATGATGCATATATTGTTCCTGCCACCGATGCTCCACGGAGCAGGAAAGCCGTGCGTCTTAGCACTGTGAGGGTCCTTGGGATTGCAGTGGGGAAAATGACACTGGGTCTCACATGGGGCTGTTTCGTGTGGAATCAGTGCAAAAGTAGCTGGTTAGCAAAGTTGGTAATTTTAGCAGAGTTTGCTAATTATGTTTTGGAGGTGGGGCTGTTTCGTGTGGAATCAGTTAGCAAAGCTGGTAATTTTAGCAGAGTTTGCTAATTATGTTTTGGAGTTTGGAGTGCATATTGGCTCATGTCAAATGATTGCTGCTGTTCCCGGCTGGTATGGCCCAGTGGTTGAGTGTCCACCTATGAACTAGGAGGTCATGGTTTGATTCCCTGTCAGGGCACATGCCCGGGTTTCGGGCTTCATCCCCAGTGTGGGGCGTACAGGATGCAGCAGATCCATGATTCTCTCTCATCATTGATGTTTCTATCTCTCTCCCTCTTCCTTCCTCACTAAAATCAATATTTTAAAAAAACGATTGCTGCCCAGTCAGGACACTTTTAGGGAATCTCAGAGGCTGAAGGTCAACACAATTGTAATGTGACTAAACTCCCCCTCTGCAAAGTCTCGGCTTCTGAGCGTGTGCATGCTACTGACTTTAGAAGCTCTGTATTGATCTCATGCCCACATTTGGGAGTCCAATTTACACGTGACTTTGCTGGTGAAACGGTCCGTTCTTAGGGTGCTCTCTGAGGAAAACTCTGGCATCTTTCAAGGTTCACTGTGTGGCAGTCATTTACACGTCTGCTGACTACCCATTTGCCTGTCTGATAATAGAAGTACTTGCTGCTACATGGAAACCAGATGCGGGGTCCTGTTCCATGTGCTGCAGCCTCGCAGGCACTGCAGTCTTTAGGAGCTGCATGAACTGGTGTGATAGGTCACAGTCGTTCTTACTGTGTTCTGTCTCTGCCCTTGTCACTGTCCCTGAAGAAAGTCACTGCACTCATTGGTTCGGTTTGGAGAAGGCATTATGTTGTCATTTCCCTGGAGTTAAAAAAGTAAAGTCTGTTCACATTGGGTGTTAAACTCATACCTGAGTTTAACGTCAGTTAAGTTTCTGAGTCATAGATGTTTCATATATACAGGCTGTCTTGTTTTGTCCACAATCTCATTCACTTTTAGTCATAAGTTAAAGAATGTAATGGAATGTTATAAAAATTCAATATTTAAATGCAGATTTGTTGAATTGATGTTTCTGGCATGGAGTTAAATGTCCACATTTAAATGGTTACCAACATGGTTTCATATCGAGCATTCAAATACAAATCTCACCATGAATTAAAATAGCAAAACGAAACAATAGGCTAATTTTCAAAGAAAAATTCATGTTTATACTGGATAATCTTGGCCTTGAATAGGATTCCTAGTTAAGGCATCACATTTGGTTTTCCAGGTGGACAGACAAGTTGAAGTTGTTGAGAGAAATGAAGAGACCTTAAGGTCTCAGCCGGCACTCATCTCCTCCTGTTGGCACTGCTGACCACAGCCTGTGCACACAGGACCACAGTGTGTCTCTCTCAACACCCCAAGCAGGCCCTGGAGGTGGCAGACTCTAGGTGTGGCAGGAACTTGACAGTCTCACAATTACCTTTTAACAACTTTCGTTTTTCCCATAGCTTTGTGATTTCTGGGTACTTTCTCTCCATTCTTTAAAGATTAGGGTGTGGCCTCAGGCATAATCAATATTTATTTGCTGTATGTCATAAATTAGTCCATGGATGATGAAATAAAAGGATGGATCTAAAGAAACAGATTAGCATTCCAAAATGGGAATGCTCATGTGTCATAACAGCGCTTCTGGAAACAAAGTCTAAATCTTCACGTGATCCTCTGCACAATGAAAACGTGCGAGTCACCATTACTGCCTGGCTCAGGGAGAGCCACCTCTGTAAGGGCAGGTGGTAGATCTCAGCTCTCTGGGCCTGTGGCCTCTGCAGCAGCCCATCCACGCCCCCATTGTCCCAGCAGCAAGGGGCTGGTCCTCTGTACGAGGTCCCAAGAGTGGGAACATCTACATGAGCAGTTCCTGAGTAACCACAGCCATTTATGGAAAACAGAATATAACTCTTACTCTCTTTTCAAATCTTATTTCTTGTGCACTTGCACAATAGAGTCTAAAGTCATCGTCCGCTGGCATGTTGCTCCTGGTGTGTGAGCTGTGTAGTCAGGATTAACTTGAAACAGAAGGTGCACAGAGCCTATCAGAAAGCTAAAGAGAGCAGGTTTGTCATAGCTCTGAAGTTGGGGCGGCACCCAAGAAACCTGTCATTGAAAGAAGAGACAATTTTCTAGTCTTTTCATGCCTCAACGCTCAGCTGGGACAGGGCTGTGTGGGATGACGAAGGGGAAGGTGGCTTGGGGGCAATAAAGCGTGGTGTGCAGGTCGCAGTGAGGCCAGTGAGGGGAACTGTGGAGCCCTTAGCAGCACAGCCTTGAGAGTAGAAAGAAGCTACACAGCCAGCCTCTCAGAGCCTCAGTTTTCCCATCTGCACAATAGGAGAACGTTTTCTGCTGCTTAGGGTTGATGAGGAAGGCATGAAATAAGACACATAACACAGAGTGCTTAGTGGCAAGCTTCTTAAATTATAGCTATTGTCATTATTATTCATAAAGAACCAAGACATACTCACTGTGCCATAAAAGATTAATACATAAGTAATCTGATTTACATCTGTGTTATGCTTTCTGCCATTCAAATCAAAGTGCCTCCACTTACCGTGCAGATGTGTAAAAAATGAAGACACGCTCTGTGAACTGATGTAGAAAGATTTCAAGGATATTTTGTTAAAGAAAGAAGCAAGATGCAGAAGAGGAGCAGAAATATGAACACACATATATTTGCCTGTATTTGCATAACATTTCTAGGATAGACAAGAAGCTGATAGAAATGTTTATATGTATAGTAACTATACAGAAACAGGCAGGATTGAGGGGGGATTTTCATTGTTTTTATTCATTTTTAAATTCTTTTTGAACCATGCAAATATAAAAGGAAGGAGGATGGAATTAGGGGAGGAAGGAAGGAAGGAAGGAAAAAGGGCACCAAGGAACTAAGGAGGAAAAGGCAAGGAGGGAAGGAAATGAATAAAAGACAGGAGAGAACATCTCCTACGAGTTTCCCTAGTTAACAGTGCATGAGGACCAGACACAATTACCTTTTAACAGCTTTAGTGTTTCCCATTGCTCTTGTCATATTTCATGCAAGCTCTTCTTTCTAAAATCCTCTAATTAAAATTTGTTTTGTAAAATGTAAAATAATAAACTATATCATGGATTATTCAATAATAGAGTTATAGTTTAGAAGCCAAAGTTTCAAAATTATTAAAAGAGTTTTCTAAAATAACGTTCAGGAAATAATTATGAAATGACAAAAATATGGAAAAATTAGCTGCAGCCATAAAATAATTTTTAGAACAATAAAGGAAAAGTGATATTTATCTTAGGTTTTATAGAAGATCTACAAAGAACATATTGTGAACAGTTGGGGGAGATGTGAATATGGACTGTATATTTTTTGATATGATTGAAACAATTGACTTTCTTTTTGTCACAATTACACTCAGGTTATGTAGGAGAATTGGTTTTGTTCCCACCTAGGAGGTAAATGTTGAAAGATTTAGGTGTGAGTAACCATGATATCTGCAACCCCCTTTTATAACTTTAACGTTGAGGACGGATCACGAGAATTCTCGCTTCATATCACACAGTGTTTCACAAAGTATCCTACTTTAAAAAGATATTAGCTTGTAAGAACATGTAATAACTTCAAAATGCAATGGGTATTTAATTTTAAAGTGTGCCTTTAACATTTATGTAAAACATTTTTTGTCCTGGTTCAATAGAAACTTAGCTGGCCATTGGGTAAAGCTAGCAATAAAACTACTGGTCCGCAGTGTGTTAAGATATCTCCAAATGTTCAGAAAAAAGTGTGTGAGAGAGAGGGAAAGTGTGTGAGTGTGTGTGTGAGAGAGGGAGAGAGATCATGTGTGTAATTATGTGTATCTGTGTAGTGTGTGTGCGTGCATGTGAGTGATTCAGGTGCCCCACCCATACTTGCAGTGTGTATAATATGGCCCAGGAAGGCACAAGGTAGCCTTACCACATCTGTTTTTTTAAACATATATTTCTTCACATTCATTTAATGAGGTCACAGATAGAGTGGAACTCAAGAACTCCTGTCCCGTTGCAGTGAAGGTAAACTGCCTTTCAGGGGAATTTCCTGAGCCCCGCTCCCAGGGCCCCAGCAGAGACGATCCCATTCGTCAGAGCTCCGTCATGAGCATCCCCTGACCAGCAGGGACTCCCCTTCCTCCCCTTGAGGAAGAGTAGGCCCTGCACATGGAGAGACCTTTCCAGGACAGCATGTATCCGTGGCACAACGGCAAGTGAATTTTGAGGACAAGGCCCTTTCCACTCTGTGACATTGCCTTGACTTGTTTAGTGCCTGATTAATTAAAATAAACCTTATTATACAGGATACTCAGGAGCGATTTGTGTACATGGAGATACATTGGCAAAGGCTGAGATATAAGAATTTTCTCCTGAGAAAAGTGTGTTTGCTCTTCTGAAATTTCATCTATCATCAGTCCACAGCTTATCTGTTTCCTCCACATGCTCTGAAATCATAAGGAAAATGTCAGAATTTTGTGAACACCATATTTTAATTCGTTCTCTCTCAGAAAGTGAAGGGGTTGTTAGTCGGTCAACACTTCTTGATGGCTACTGCCTGTGAGACACTCCGCTAGGTCTGTTACAGGAAA